GTCCTTTAGCACTATTCTCATGGCAGCCATCACATGAGCTTCCTACACATGTCTAGAATAAGAAACTTGCTCAGACTTTAGTCACCAAAGCCTTAGATTTGTCATTTCCTATTACTATTAACACAGTTTTTAAGTTTTATTTCTAAGTCTTCAAGAAGCAAATATGAGAGCCTTTAGATCGATTACATACTGTCATATTTAAAGTTTTACGAGTAAAAATAATTGTTTCTCAAAGTTCTGCTGTTGTAAGGCAGAACTAGGTTTTCTATAATTAAGTATGATTTCAAGCATCTAGTTGACCAGTAGCCCCAAAATCTGCACTTACAAATAGCAGGACAAATATGTACAAAGTACTCACTTCAACAGTCTCGATTTTCCCTTCATGGCAATGTGGTGTTCTTGGATAGATGTCCAAAAGATGTGGTGGTGAATCAAAATGTAATCTTTTGAGATTTCTTTTAAGAACATCTTTAGAATTCAGTTCATCAAAGTTAGTCCTCCATAATAAAATCTGTTTAAAAAAATTAAACAAGTTGGCAATTTATTTACTTGCATATACAAGCAATAGAACGGATTTTTTAAAAAAATGAATATACAAAAATGCCTCTCAAAATAGGAAGACTAGATAAATATTTCAACATTACTACTTCTCAATACTTTTTTAAGGGTGAGAGATCTAGCCATCTGAATTGCCTTCATGTCGTTTAAAATTCATATTAAGAAAATAACATTACCTTAAAATCCTCTTTTTTTTCCCCAAAGCCCAAAACCATGTTGTCCACCATAGTCAATAAATCTGACTATGAATGACTTTTGGTTATTTTAAGTAAATGCAAAATTGCTGCATAAACAATTTATATTTACAATCCTCAAGAATCTTAACATTTCAAACACAAGATACAGACAAAATATTAGGCAACAATTCAAGTGAAAGTGCCACATTAATATTTGGCATACAATAAGTGTCAGTTACATGTATAAGTGTAGAGACAAGCAAAGAAAATAACTGCTATTTGAGTTCCAAGAATTATCAAAACTGTCACGATTTCAGCTACGAAATAGCAGACGTCCTGGCATTAAGTTAAAATATAAATTCACTGGAACATATACAAACTAGCTGGTTGTGAAAATCTGTGCTGAGGTCTTGGACTCCTTTGCCCTAACCTAATCAAAGAGGGAGCTGAAAGACGTACAAACCTGCATATCTGCGCCTCCTGATGAAAATAGCTCTCCACCTTTTGAAAATGAAACAGTAAAGACAGGTCCCTAAGATATAAATGGAAATTTAAAAAAAGTTACTTGGTGATGTTTTCTTATGGCCAAGCATACTGTGAATATTAATTTTTTTCTAATTTATGTAGACTATTGATGCAATAAGTCTGAGAGAACATATCCAACTGCTAGCAACTAATGGAGGTAGAGTGAAGGTAATCAAAGAACCAACCCAATTATATTAAAACACATATAAATGATATTAAATGAAAAAGAAATTCTAATAAAAATTTTAAAATACACCTTTTTTTTCCTTTTAAAGAAAAGTTTGTACATATGTAATTACAAGCTTTTCCAATTACAGAATTTCTGTTAAGACTTGTCTGGCTTTGGACTCTTTATTCAACAAATCACTAGCAGAAACTAAATGATAACTCTGAGAATGATTAAGAATGAAGCTACATGAAAAAAAGGCCACATTCCCATTTTCTGACTTCAACAGGCTTCATTGAGTCACCCTTCATGTGGGCAACAGTGAGCCACTAATAGTTTTAAAAGCAGGATATAGACAGGAGGAGAACTGTGATGAAAACTGATGTCACAAACACTTTGTAAAGCATATGACTGTCTAACCACTATACTGTGTACCTGAAACTAAAACAAAATAATATTGAGTGAAAATTGATGTTGCAATTGTGAGATGATGGACTGAAGTAAGAATGAATGGTTGGAGGCCAGTTAGGAAGTTACTGCAATTATTTGGGTGAGAGGTAATGAGAACCTGAAATTGAGCAATGACTGTGAAGTTGGACAAGACTACACTTGGCACAGTCACAACATGCATAGCCTCTGGGTCAACTTTTCAATCCAGATAAGAGTAATTATTTCTCATTTCAAAATACCAGTATATTCTGTTCTGTTAATGTGCCCTTAATCTATACAAGAAAACTACTGGGGAAAAACACCTTAGATTTTTAAGTAGACAACCCCACAGATTTAGGTTATTTTAGCCCCACAAACATCTTTTTCCTCCACATTGTGAAAAATTCCACCTTTGTGTATAAATTTTTCTTCTAAAATATTGTTTATCTTTTTTTCTATTAATCTATTTCCATGGGTATTTTAATCCTTGGCTACTTTTATTGGTTATTTATTCAGCTTAAATACACATATGAGCTGGTTCGTGTCTATTTCTGCTTCACACTAACACAGCTGCAGAGCAAATGACAAAGCAAGCAGGAAGCCAAGCAAGATATATGAAGGCAGAAAAAAACCCTTCTCCCCTAGACCACTGAGCCTATTCTATTTCTGGATATAAACTGCTTATACTTGGTTAAAAGGAAGTATCTAGTACTTTTTTAAAAGGATGCATTCTAAAAAATTTAGAGGAGTTTGAATATTTACCCAGAAAGGAGGACTAGTTTACATACTTAAAAGTTTTTCTTTAGTGTGTTATATGCGAGGGTGTGTGTGTGTGTGTGTGTGTGTGTGTGTGTGTGTGTAATTGAACAAGCTCAATAATAGGACCTCACTTCCCCACTAGGTTATAAACCAACTGAGAAATAACACAAAAAAATAAGGCATATGAGAGCCAAATATCACCTTTCGTACTGATAAAGGTTTGCAAAGAAAGACTGTGGCTTTATGTGTGCAAATGGGCTTTCTAGATCTGAATACCAGAATGAGTCAGATCTGAGTTCCCAGTCACAGGCAAGACTGGACAAGGGCAGGCCTCCCCACAATAAGTATCAGAGGAAAAGTAAGGGCAGGCTTACTTCCAAGAGCAGAAGTCATTGGGCTCTGCTTGTTGTTAAATTTCTCCTTTTAATCTCACCAGACTAGTGAAAGAAATGACTGCGGGGGTGTGAGAGGCTGAGTGTCAGAGCTAGTGGGATAGCCTCCACATAAGAAAGATCAGAGGTTGGGAAAAAATGTATCTATCACCACTTAACCAGTTAAACCTAAACTACATCCTGATGAAGATAATTATGAAAGACTAATTTAATGGCTATAAAAGATACACATTGATTTTGACAAGAATTATAATAAATATTATTTCTAATAGTTGCTTCTAGAGGATAAAAGCATCATCTTGGAGGCAAAAGTATTTTTTTATGACAGCAGCAATGTATGTTATACTTGGAAAAGTAATAAAAGCATATAATAAAATGGGCAAAACTTTAAAATATATATAAATATATATTAAGCATATAATAAACGGATCAAAACTTTAAAATATATATCATTTAAAAAACAAAAATCTCAGTGTTAGTACCGAATGTCCTTGAAGTGTATATATGAGCCTTCCTTCTAGTAGATCCAAAATCTTAAGTGTACCATCTGAAGAAGCAGTGATGAGATAGTTACCCGAAGGATGGAATGATACACAATTAACTCCGCCACTGTGAACTGATTTGTAGAAAATAAAGCAAAAACTTTAGAGAACAATTCTTAATTCTACCGGTAAAGATGCCCCTTGGATCTATTAGCAATATTAGGTTGAAAACAAAAATCAATTAGAGGCAATGTCTCCACAACACCAAATTTCTAAGTAGCTTACTAAAACAAATAAGTAGTTTGGCATCATATAGCTTGAGTATCCAGCTAATGAGAAAGAATAGCTTTCAATATGAGAATATGTCATGGAAAGATGATCTTGTTAACCACATAACTAAAAGTCTTCAGATATATTACCAATATAACCAACAGTTAATTATTACCAGCTCACATAAGGTATACAACCTTTCCTTAAGCTAAATTTAGTAATCAATTACAGCTTGGCACTAAGGGGTAAAGAGTGTGGAGATATATTTGGAGAAGGGCACAATCTTGCCAGTTTGAGCAATCATTTCTCATTTCACCATCTTTCCAATAGGAGGCAGTATAACACAGTGATGGAAAGTGTAAACAGAAAGACCCAGGTCAATTTTCAATTCTTTTAGGAGGTCACTTAAAGCCTCTTTAAGCCTCAATTTCCTTATCTTTAAATGGGAGTAATAATAATAATACTGCCTCTTGGGGCTGTTGTGAAGAGATTTATCAGTGTAGCACATGGTAAATATTACACTTAAGTCTGAGAAATGTGGACTTAATGTAAACCCAATATAAACCAAGAAATTGATTTATTTCTCTTTTAACTTTAATACATAGGCACAGTCAGATGTTGTTTTCTACCAGTTATAACAAGTATTTGTGCCAATTTCTATCCCCGACTTCTCATAATTATATAATCAGAGTTACTCCAGCAAATAACCAGAGTTTGCAAGTCTCACAGTAATCTCGCTCTTTTTTCTTTATAGTCCTGGCATCATTTTTAAGGTGCCTCCACCTCCCTCTCCACTCTGGCATCTACCCCAGCTTCTCAGACCATGCTGCTGAGGGGGCTGTCTTTCAGTCAGTTCAAAGGCAGCCTGTGGCTCTTGTTAAGAGGGCCAGGACACACTGAGAAGGGTAGTCTGTCAGTTGAAGAGTTTCCCAGGAGCCCACTCAACAACTGAATTCTTTTGTTATAGACACTGTACCTTGATAATGCTGGAGTAATTTGTTTAATCGTATATCCCAGATTTTCACAGTATGATCAGAACCTGCTGAAGCTATGCATGTACCATTAGGGCTAAAATCCACAAAATTTGAAAACCTAGGAGGAAAGGATAAGATGGTCTCATATTTTGATTTCTTTACTTTAATTTCTTTATTCGAAGTGTAATAAATTAAATGTCTCCTTATTAAACCACATCACATAAATGCACAAACAGAATGGACTTACCCTACAGAATCTGAGAAATTACTGACACACTGCTTACTTGTGGTATCCCAAATTTTTATAGTTTTATCCTCACTACATGATACAATTAGTCTTCCATCGGGTGAAAATCTGGAAAGCACAAGAAAGAATACTGTTTCTGTGAAAGGCTCCCGATAATCACAATCACAGCCATCCCACTCCCACCATACACAAGTCAGGCTGTACATATTAAATATTGGAGACCACTGTTACCACACGGTGCAGCAACGTCTTATTCTGCAACCACCATCTTTTCAACTAAAAATAAGCACGACAAAGGACACTGATAGGCCATTAAAAGATCAAATCACACCATATAGATCAGTGGTTTTCAACCTTCCTAATGCCGCGACCCTTTAATACAGTTCATGTTGTGGTGATCCCCAACCATAAAATTATTTTCGTTGTTACTTCATAACTGTAATTTTGCTACTGTTATGAATCGTAATGTAAATATCTGATATGCAGGATATATTTTCCTTGTTACAAATTGAACATAATTAAAGTATAGTGATTAATCACAAAAACAATATGTAATTATATATGTGTTTTCTGATGGTCTTAGGCGACCCCTGTGAAAGGGTCGTTCGACCCCCATAGGGTCGCGACCCACAGGTTGAGAACCGCTGATATAGATTAACCAAGGTTCTTCTCCTTTCATTCTTTTATTTAAATAATTTAGCTTTATGGCACCTGTTGTAGTTTTTTGGTTCATCTCTGCACTCCTTCCAAGCCAAGTACCTTGCCTTTTTTCTTTTTGCCATGTACCTTGCTTTTTAAAACATCTTTATTTCTTTCTCCTATATCTGTCATTTTTTGGTGTTACCCATATGACCCAAGAGAGCCTTTATTGTTCACCGCCCCCCCAACCCTGTAGTTAAGTTTTTTATAAGAAAAGGACTTGTGTGTTTAGAATTAAAATTAAATGATATCATCAACAAAAGAAGCAGCTCCCCAAACCCATAAGTTCCTGGACATGAGGAGGCCAGAGAGCTCCACTGGACTGAAAGTAGGACAACTCATTAACATGGAACGGAAACTCCTTCATGGACACACCTATCATCCACATGCCCCATTAAAAAACAAATGACTAAATTCTCACACGGTTTGTCTACTGTTTCTATGCTCTCCTTCCATTTTAAGATCCTTTTCAAAGTTTCCTCCTACCCTAAGTGCCTTTCTAGGATAGAAGAGCAGAAGACAAAAAAAAATTTTTTTAGATTACTAGAAAATTATGAATAGTATTTTTGTCATTAATATTTTAGTGATAACAAAACCCAAAAAAAGACAAATTTAGGTCACAGACTGATTATGTTTCAATCTTATTGGTATTTCTCTCTAGGCCCAGATTGCTATGTCATCAATTGTGGGTGTAGATTATAATTAAAGGCTTTTCTTTTTATTCTCTCTCATTTGATTCTCTCCTCCCTTCCTGTTCTTAAGGCTGACCTAAGAATAATTCTTCCTGACAGAAACTTGGGATCTGGCGCCTATGGATTCACCATTTAAAAAAGAAAAGACACAGAAGCACAATTAAATTCTACATAAAATAATCTTTAAAATTCAAGAAAATAATCTTGTAAGAAAATATCTTCCATGATGGTAGTTCAGGGTGATTTTATAATAATGTGATATATTATTAATCTTTTCCAGCAGAAAATATGTGATGAAGATTCAAATATGAAGGACAGTATTCTAGAAATGCTCCAAACAGATGAAATTTATTTTACACAGACCCTGGGGATAAGAAACCTACTTAGTATCCCCATGAAAATAAACATTACATAATAATGTAAACAACTAATTCAATGAATTAAATTGCATCTCTTAATAAGCTATCTTTAAAAAATATTACCTAATGTGAATATTTCTTCAAATGGTAAGAATATTTCGGAGATGACTTGATTCTTACATTTTAAGAGAGCAATGATGAAAAAAAAGTAATAAAATGGAATGATCAGATTAAAAACAAAGTACAGAAATCCTCACCCTACATTATTGACTAAATCCTACCACCACCACCATCATCATCACTATCCTGCTAACCCTATAGCAACTCTTTTAATCCTCAATCAACCCTACAAAACAGGTGCTACTGCTAGCCTCAATTTACAGATGTATAAACGGGGCACATAAAGGATCAGTAACTGCCAGAGTCACGCGACCAGGAAGATGAGAACCAGACAATCTGGTTCCATAGCTAAACTCTCAGTCACTCTGCTGGGTCCCTACTGAAAGGGAAGTGTCCTCTACTGGCCAAAGGATTTGGGACACACAAAGTTCTGTGTGGCTCCTGTGTGACCACAGAAGGCCCTACAGTGGAGAAGCTTGAGGCAGTGCTCCTCAGACACTCCGTGATCGGCTCTGACAGGTAACCACTGGACTATCCTTTAATAAAAATCCGCTTGCATTACCATACACTGTCAGTGTTCCAGACGAGTTTATGGGAAGGACATTCATTCACTCATTCATTCATTCAAATATTCACTGAGCACCTGCCAGAACCAGGCACTGGACAACGTGCTGGGTCACAGGAATATAGTGGCAAATGAAATGGAGATCCCTGTGTCCAGGAAGCTTTCAATCTAGGGAGTTAACAGAAGGGAGGGCACACAAATAATATGTTGTAGACAGTGATAAAACAAAAAATGTGCCAATTTATCATTAGAAACTCCATCGAAGATACATGTTTTTAAAGCAACTTGTGAAAAAGAGAAAGGAGGTATACTGGCCAGATAGAATTCATCCTAAGAAGGAGGGGCTATAAATAAGAGACATTTTTCAACGTAGAAATTTATCTTGAGCAGGATGGGTTATAGTCTGAGAGAAGCTTCCCCATGCTAAAGGAAGGAAGGGAAGGCAAACATCCGATAGAGAACAGAGGAGGTAGTGGGAAGAAGCTGGCAGCAGAGGGAGAGGTTTCTACCCCCAACTCCACATGACCAGAGGGAGACTCAGGGTAAAGGCCCTGCCCCTCCTCTGGACACTATATTATAATTCCTGCTTTCTGTATATGTTTTTTGCCTTTGGAGGGGTTAAAAGTAAAGATGGTGGCTTGTATCTTCTCCTTCCCTTTCACTTTTAATTAGATTCATAAAAAAATAAGTAAGCACCAATAAAATGGGCTTTTCTTTGCCCTGACTTTGATCAGGGCTCTGAGACATTAATAGATTTCTAATTCTCTAATTCAGTACCATCAACAGTCTTTTAAAATTTCCAGAGACTGTGTCACCAAGATGGATATTTTATTAGTCAATGGTGACTAATGGATCAGGAGATGTGGACTGTCTATAAGGCATTTGAAAAGTTAATTGAACTAGTTACTATTCAATCCTTTAAAATGTATTGGTACTCATTTGAGAGAATGAGGAAATTCTTGAACACTTTCCAGAAAAACTGGTTCACATTTCCTTGAAAGCAGCCTAAGAGTTATATAATAGATCTTTAACTTGGAATCTATGGAGTTCCCAAAACTGTATGTAAAACTGCATGTCTATATGTACATAAATAGTTATTCATTCGTTACACAGCCAAATGGGCCCATGAACCATGAGACGTTTTAAAGTGGTTTCATAAGAAATCAAAATACTCATTTAAATATTTCTTATCATTAGATAAGAATTCTATAAAAACAAATTTCTAGCCCTCAGGATTGTGAGACCAGAGTGGGCATTGTCCATGTCCTTTAAGAAACAAATCATTAGTACGTGGTACTCTGAAGTCAGCAGTATTCAACAGGAGAGGGAAGCAGCAAAAAGCAGTGGAAATAAGACTGCCCAGTTAATACAGAGTTTTGCAACTGCCCAGCTCTGTAACCTTGTGAAACTCATAACCCCCCTGGCCACCACTTTCTATTTAGATAATGTTGAGACTTTCGATTGCATTCAGACCTCAAACTTTCATAGACTCAAAAAACAAGCAGTTTCAGTTTGCTTTAATGGGGTTGTGTTTACACATTGAAGTTGAAGTTCAAGACAATAAGCAAAACATTTATGTTTTTTTAAGTGCTGGTCAGCATTAGAAGAGAAACCATCTGTTGCAGTAACAGGATTCACTCCTGCAACTGTTGAGAGACAAAAAACAGATGAAAGAGGTACAAAAACATTTAAGTATGCTAATTATTTGTTGGGTCATCCATCATTTATGTGCCCAGACTTCTCTCCTGGATCTCCACCCTTAAGTACAATTGCCTACTGGGTGTCTCCTCTTGGATAGCCCTAGGCACCCCTGACTCTGAACTTGTCCAAATCTAAACTCACCTTCCTCCTCAGACAGCTTCTGGAAAGTGTTACTTTCCTGAATAAACAGTTTCTGAAGTCAGAAACCTAGCAATCATGCTCGATTCCTCTTTCCCCTCCATTCCCCTACATTGTAATCCATGATTAGCCCCATCTCTTCAAACCACAATGGGCCCCGCTACGTCATTCTCTACATGCAAGAAAAGTGATCTTTAAATTGGAAATCAAATTTTTCAAATTAAAACCATTTGGTGGTTTCACATTTCCCTTGGGAAAAAGTCTGACACCCTTACCACTGCTTATCAGGTCCTCTGGATCTGCCCTCCTGTCTCTTCATCTTCATCACCCCCCCCCTTTCTGACACCACACCCCTTTTTTCTCAGGACCTTGCTCCTGCCTCAGCTGTTTCCTCACACACATTTGTTCCCTATGCCTCAAATACCTTCCCCTACTCTTTATCTAGTTTGAATTACCTAAAAGGATCTTACTCCTTCAAGTCTCTGCTCCCCTCACTTTTTCATGAAAAGCCTTCCTGAATTTCCCCCTCCCCCAGGTTAACTCCTCAGGAGGTGTTCTTAACATTACTCATATGCACACGCCTCCCTTACAGCCACGTGTTCTGTTTACTTCCCTAACAAAATGTAAGCTCCAAGACCACATCTGTCTTATTCACAGTTGTGTCCCTAGGCACAGTGCACGGTACTGACTACATCCTCAGTAAACATTTATGGCACAAGAAAAAAACTTTCTAAGGGAATTCGCACTAACTTAGAATTATAGCCAATGAGAGCTTATACTTAAAATCTTTGCAATTTGTCACACAATATGAACATACTTAATGCCACTGAATTATATATTGAAAATGGTAAATTTTATCTTATATATATTTTAGCACAATAACAAAAATACCTTCAATTTAGATGGCTAAAGATCTCATGTAACACTACCAACAACTGAAATTTAAAGGCAGATTTTCCCTGTAAAAATTAATGCCGTAAAAGCAATAATGTTGGAAAAGTCTCATTAAGTTCTACTTATTTTTGACTAAGAATACCATAAAGATAACTAAGTTATCTCACATTATACATTATTTTTTAAAACTCAGGGCTACAGCCGAACTGGTTTGGCTCAGTGGATAGAGCGTCGGCCTGCGGACTGAAGGGTCCCCGGTTCGATTCCGGTCAAGGGCATGTACCTTGGTTGCGGGCACATCCCTACTGGGGGGTGTGCAGGAGGCAGCTGATCGATCTCTCTCATCGATGTTTCTAACTCTCTATCCCTCTCCCTTCTTCTCTGTAAAAATTCAATAAAATATATTTTTAAAAAAAACAGAAAAACTCAGGGCTACAATAATCCTAACATTTACTTATTTATCTATTTATTTATTTTAATAGAGTCTTTTTATTTATTTTTTAAAACACTTTATTGTTGAAAGTATTACATATGTCTCCTTTTTCCCCCATTGACCTCTCCCTGCCCACTCCCACCCCCCAGCACAGGCCTTCACCCCCTCTACTGTCTGTGAATCCTAACTTTTAAAAGCATTATTTTGCCCCCAAAATGGGTAATAATTCTCACCCATATATATATTTCAAAAGATAAATGTTTTTTCTCCATTACTCATTAAAGGAAAATTACTTCGTTTAAAAATCTAGGAAAGGGGACATCTGTAATACTTTTAATAATAAAGATTTAAAAAAGATAAAAAACTAGGAATTATAGTAAGTAAAAAAGTTCATAGTTCCATCACCCAAGTTCCAGTTAATATTTTGTGTGTAATAGGTACTTTACCTTTGTTCATGTATACTCCTTCCATATTATAATCATAAGTTCTGAATTTTGTCCGCCCTCTCCCCCTAAGATAAACATGTTTTAATGTAATTACTTGCTTATATTTCCCTTTTTTATAGCTACATAATAATCTAAACTATTTAACCAGTTTTCTTTATTCAGAAAAAAAATGCTTGTTTACAATATTTCGCCATTATAAATTATACTGAAAGCAGTATTTTTGAGTATAAGGCATTTTCCTTTGAATACAAAAGGGTATTTAGAATAAATTTCTAGTTGTGGAATTGCTGTAACAAAGACTCCTGATATATTTTGCACACGGATTTCTAAAAAGACTATACTAACTTATATTTTAAAAGCATTAATATATTTCCCAATAGCTGGCATATCTTAAAAATATTTCTGTAAATTAACATGAATGGTCATAAACAATGGTTAGTACAGAGAACATAACTGTTCATCTCTTTTTACACTAATGGGCACCACACCACCTCTGCGTCCTGTGGAGTAAGTCTGGGCTTCAGGGAAAAGCTCATAAGTACTGGGCACACAGAATTTTTATTAATTAAGTTCATGGCATATATTCAAAATTCAATGACTAAAGGGAGAAACAATTGCTCTAATGACCCTCTATATTCATTTAAATACACTGTCCATGCATTTGGAAGAAGAACAGTATCACTTGGACTATTTTTAGAATTTAATTGCTTAATTCATCTACAATTTTTGTAAATGTATGGTATGCAATACAAATCCTACTTTATATTTTTCCAACTAGAAATCCAACTATCTTAACTACATATTAAATAGTCCATTCACTTCCCCAATGGTTGGAAATGCTATCTTCAACATAAAATACATATGGGCCTGTTTCTAGCCTTTCTATGACCTATTTTCCTAATCCTGTACCATTATCATCATATTTTAATTTCTAAAGTTTTATACTGAGTTCCTTCTAATTTTTTTCCTGTCACTGTTTCTTGATTATTCTTGCACATTTATCTCATCCTTATGAATACTGAAATTAGCTAGTCAGGTTCCACTAAATTCCTTTGGCAGAACTTTCAGTTCTGGACAAGGGGGACTTATATCCCTACCACAAACTATCATACTGCTGGGCAAAGTAAACTAAACAGCTGTTTTTAGACACTGTACAGAAACTACACAGGGTTTTGAATCCTGACACATGGAAACAAATGAGATGAGCACCAAATCCAAACCAGATTTCTACCTGGGAGCATTTTTCAGTCCATGGCACAAGGACATAGAGCCCAAGGAGACAGCAGCAGTCTTGCTGGGCAAAGAAAACAGAAATTAGAATTCAGAACTGCTATGGGGCTGGAGTTTAGAGGGCAGGAAGTGAGAAAGACACTATGAAGAGCAGAAACCCCCCAAAAGATCTGCCTATGAATTCCACTGAGTCTTTGGTCAAATACAAAGCTGCTTATGCACAGGGGACTGAGGCTTGGCAGAGAACAATTACTGGGAGACTGTGAGCTGAACAGAGTACATATAAGGGGAGTATCAATAAAAATGATCTCCACCTTCATATTAAAAAATGCAAACCAGAAGACACTGGGATGACATATTTAAAGTCCTGAAAGAAAAAGTACCCACTGAACTAGAATTCAACATCTCAGCAAAAATATCCTTTAAAGAGGATCAACAAAAAGTTGAGAGAATTTATTACCAATAGACCTGCACTACAAGAATAGTAAATAAAGTTTCTTAGGCTGAAGGGAAATGATACCAGATGGAGACTTGGATCTACTAGTACACAAAGGAATAAAGAGTGCTAGAAAAGGTAAATATGGGGGTACATACTAGCAATAGACTTTTTGTTTCTTATTTCTTTGAAAAATTGTTGCTTAATGTATTGTGGGCTGATATCATATATAGATATAAGAGGTGGGTAAATGAAGTATATTTTGGTAAGTTCTAACATTAGAACTTTTACAAGTTCTGACACATATAAAATTAATTCAAGAGTACAGAGTGATATGTTAAGGATGCATATTGTAACTTTTAGAAATTACCAATAAAAAACACACAACATGGACAAAGAATAAAGCTAAAAAGCCTGCAGAGGAAATAAAATGGGATACTAAGAAATACTCAATTAATCCAAAAGAAAAGCAGGAAAAATAAACAAATGAGATAAATAGAAAACAAAGAGCAAAATGGTAGACTTTAACCTAATCATAGTACTAGTTACATAAAGTTAAACAGAATACACATGCCAATGAAAAGACGGAGACTTTCAGACCCAAGTACTTGAAAATAAAGTTATCCTCTGATAGTTAAATATATAAAATGCATTCAAAGGAGGATAGTAGTTACTATATATAGTAGCAACCTCTAAAACTATGTGCAAATATGTGAAATGACTTTTAGACACAACCTAAACATGACTGCAGTATAATCCTGGGGAGGAAAAAATTGGAATGTGAGGGTAATTAATAGCTGACATTAGTTACATTCATTAACCTGTTTATTCATGATGACTATGAAGAAGGTAAGGTACCCCTTTGTACTCAATTACAAAAGAGCAGACAAAGGCCCTGAGAGGTTATGTCATGTTCCCATGATCACATGCTAGTGAGCCCATGCTCTTAGCTACTTCCTGCTCTCTCTTTGCTGAAACGAAGCAACAAAACTGCACTACCTGAAAGAGGGAGGTGCCCAGCAACTCAAGAGGCCAGAGCAACAGCATATCTCCTGTCAGGCCCAGGGAGAGAGGACCTGGCCAGCAGAACTGATCCCTCTGATTCCTTGGCAGGTGTGTATGTGGCAAAGATAGGTCCACCTCACTATCCCAACCCGAGGAAACCATCCATCAAGATTTTTTTCAACAAACTCTCTTGCTTTGGTTCCAGGGCCCACTGAAGTCTTATTGTGACTTTCTTGGCAAAGGAAGACCCTGGCTGAGGCACACAAATCTTCTAGTCCACTTGAAAGTTAGTGCTGTCACTGTAAATAAGTAAACTGGTATCTGGTTTACGTTTCCTAAATTTCTTAAGTGGGCTTAGATTCCCTCTGAGCTTTCTCATCTCTGGGTAAAGAGCAGAAACAGGACTTCTAGTACTTCAGACTTTGGAAGAAAGTCCTGGACTAGGATGACGCTATTAAGGCTGTATTTTCACAGGAAGTTGCACAAACACTCTGAGAGGCTGAGCCTGAGCGGTCAATTGGATCCTCTCAATTCTCTTTGTCTCTCACAGCAGTAAGTTGAGCCAAGAAAAAAACACTGTAATAAATACGTGAGAAGAATCTCTAAGCTTGTTGTAGAGCACCTATAAGGAAAGTTACCAAGATGAAATCTTTATTCATTCAATTTAACCCAATTATTTATTCTAAGAACATTCTTCCAGAGAGTTCTCTGGAGTATTTCATATGAATCACTCCCTCCAAACAGTAAGAAAGCAAATGATTTTTAAAAACAAACCTCAGAACCACAATGTACCAGCAAGATACAGGCATTCCATTAAGACCAGGTGTGCTGAGTATAAAAATTACCAACCTGAACAGAGGTAGACCAAAATGGAAAAAGAAATTAGCGAAGCCATGTAAACATTCTCCATGCAAGATGTATTGCAGTATCCTGAATTTTATACAAAGAATCCACAAAAATGACTCCTGCCTCAAGAGAACGCCCACCCAAGCTACCTGGTCACTCACCGATTCATCGATTCATTCAAACCACGTTTTTGTACAACTCTGAGCCTTCCCCACTCTATAATTAACTCTACAGTGCTCCTCCACTGTATCTGATTCTACTCAGAACACTCTTCCCCACTCTGCCTCGCTAGCTACCTCACTTCAGTCAATGTTCCTTAGAAAAGACACTTCCCCAACCACCATCTGTAAAAGACCACCCCCATCACTCTCTAGCACATTATCCTACAGTATTTTCCTGCAGAGCACATATCACTAATATATTTGTTTACTGTCTCATCTCCCTTTGGTAGAAGGTGCTCCATGAGCACAGGAATTTTGTACTTTGCTCCCTGTAGTATCTATACAATTTAGACCAGTGCCTGAAAAGAGAATACAACCTGAATAAAATATCTGTAATTCAAATAGGAAAGGGAGGCCTAAACTGACAGACCTCATAAACGGAGCAATGTGGCAGCATAAGGAATCAACAAACTCAGCCTGGGAGAGGCCAAACACTTCTTGGAGGAAGAGATGCAGGACAGGGTTGTGAAGGGAAGGTGGGATCTGGGTTATTCCAGGTGTTTCAGGCAGCATGTGGAAAGGCACAGATCATAACGGAACCTCACACACGTGGGTAGCTATAACAAGGTGAATGGTGAAAGGGACAAAAGATGAGGCTGAAACAGAAGGCAAGCAGATGTGCCAGGGCAAGGAGTCAGAATGCTTTTAAGCTGAGGAGCAGCATGATGGGATTTACATTTCAGAAGGTCTCTTTGGAGGCAGTAGGGGGTGGGGAGAAAGGCTGAATGAAGGCAAATCTGTAGTCAAGGAGAACATTTAGGAGGTTACTGCAGAAGTCTCTACTAGAACCAGTGATGCTAAAAATTAAGGCAGTGGTGTTGGCCTGGAGATAAAGCAGGTGTCTTGAGTGCACATGATAACTCCCACTTTTACAAAACTATCACTTCCTATGGAAAGTGCCTTTATTTTATTTTTTGTTAATTCTCACCGGAGGATACTTTTCCATTGATTTTTATAGAGAGTGGGAGGGGGAGAGACAGGGAGAGAGAATCATCGATGTGGAAGACATCGACTGGTTGCCCTCCCGCACATGTCCAGACTGGGGCTGGGAATGGAGCCTGGTGCCCTTGACTGGAATTGAATCCGAGGCCCTTCAGTCCACGGGCCAACACTTTATCCACTGAGCCAAACCGGCTAGAACTGGAAAGTGCCTTTAAAAAATAAAAGCAAAAGGAAATTTTTTTCCAGGCTCATATCTCCCCTCCCCCACACACGTGCTAAAAATTCCAGGTATAGCTGTATCCAGAAACTACACTATGTAACTAGACAGCCATTCATTCTGCTTTACCTCACAGTTCTGCTCTCCTGGGAATCAGCATCATTCCCACGGCATCCCTCAGCAGCTACAGGCTTAACTGAGCCTAGAGAAAGCAATCCCAGAGGAAAGTCCTGAGGTCCCAACACGACTAACTCCTAGTGGAGGGAGATGCTCTGATCTGCATGGCAGGCCTGAGATGAAAGCCTACTGCTGGAGCTGGAGATAGGGCCTCTCCAGCACAGGCGTAACACGGGAATGGGCCGTGGGTGAGGGCTGGTTCCTCAGAGAAAACTTGGGCACCATTACCACCCTATGGGGAATGGATGCCAGGCAGACAGCCATGAAGAGTCCCACCATCGCTTCCTTTTCATGAATGGATAAGGAATAACAACATTTGCAGTGGCTCCTTCCCATTCCCAAGCTGCTCCCTATCTAAAGGGGCCCAGCTGGAGGAATGGCAGCCCCAGGGCTCCACTCAGTCCCCAACACAGTCAACTTGCATTTCTCATCCTCACAACAGTCTGCAGAGGCTGAGAGCCATAACCTAATTTGCCCAGTGGTAACAAGGCGGTGCAGATAGGCATGCGAATCTTGGCATGGACCCTCTTACTGTAGTCATGCTGGTTAATAGACCAATTAGTAAAGAAGAGCTCAGAAATGATCATGTTTCTTCCCAATTCCAAGCCCTCGTGTCTTTGTATTTCCTGTAGGATGAAGTAAAATCTTTTCATGTCATCCAGTGAACCTGAGCCTTCTCCACCTCCTCCCCGACCTTGTCCCACTTTGTTTCCTGTGTCTAGCCATAGCTGAATGAATAATACATGTTCCCAGAGCACACTCTGAACTCCCAGGCTACAGTGCTTACTCCTGCTGATTCCTTCCATGAACCGGTTTACCACCCTCCTCCCATCTGATAATAAGCTGCTGTTTCCCCTTCTCCTTTCCTTTCCTCAGTTTTGAGCCAGGAATACCTTCCTTGACTTTTCCTCACACAAGTCTAGTTCAATGCCCCACTCAGAGATTCCCTTATCATCTTGTGTATCACCTTCTCATAGGACACACCATTTTATAATTATTTGGTATCTTATTCTTACCCTTGAACTGTAAAAGCTCCTTGAGGCTAATACTGTTTCTTTCAACTCTAGACCTAGCACAGATATGTGATACAGACTGGGGATTATGCTTACTAAGGGAATACTTTGAAGACCAAAATTTCACTTAATTGGTGACCTTTCAACCTTTCATAAATTCTTTTGCTCTTTGTTTTCTATTTATCTCATTTGTTTATTTTTCCTGCTTTTCTTTTGGATTAATTGAGTATTTCTTAGTATCCCATTTTATTTCCTCTGCAGGCTTTTTAGCTTTATTCTTTGTCCATGTTGTGTGTGTTTTTTATTGGTAATCTCTAGAAGTTATAATATACATCCTTAATGTATCACCCTGTACTCTTGAATTAATTTTATGCCATTTTATATATGTCAGAACTTGTAAAAGTTCTAATGTTAGAACTTACCAAAATATACTTCATTTACCCACCTCTTATATCTATATATGATATCAGCCCACAATACATTAAGCAACCATTTTTCAAAGAAATAAGAAACAAAAAGTCTATTGCTAGTATGTACCCCCATATTTACCTTTTCTAGCACTCTTTATTCCTTTGTGTACTAGTAGATCCAAGTCTCCATCTGGTATCATTTCCCTTCAGCCTAAGAAACTTTATTTACTATTCTTGTAGTGCAGGTCTATTGGTAATAAATTCTCTCAACTTTTTGTTGATCCTCTTTAAAGGATATTTTTGCTGAGATGTTGAATTCTAGTTCAGTGGGTACTTTTTCTTTCAGGACTTTAAATATGTCATCCCAGTGTCTTCTGGTTTGCATTTTTAATATGAAGGTGGAGATCATTTTTATTGATACTCCCCTTATATGTACTCTGTTCAGCTCACAGTCTCCCAGTAATTGTTCTCTGCCAAGCCTCAGTCCCCTGTGCATAAGCAGCTTTGTATTTGACCAAAGACTCAGTGGAATTCATAGGCAGATCTTTTGGGGGTTTCTACTCTTCATAGTGTCTTTCCCACTTCCTGCCCTCTAAACTCCAGCCCCGTAGCAGTTCTGAATTCTAATTTCTGTTTTCTTTGCCCAGCAAGACTGCTGCTGTCTCCTTGGGCTCTATGTCCTTGTGCCATGGACTGAAAAATGCTCCCAGGTAGAAATCTGGTTTGGATTTGGTGCTCATCTCATTTGTTTCCATGTGTCAGGATTCAAAACCCTGTGTAGTTTCTGTACAGTGTCTAAAAACAGCTGTTTAGTTTACTTTGCCCAGCAGTATGATTGTTTGTGGTAGGGATATAAGTCCCCCTTGTCCGTGGCTGTCAGCTGACAGTAACACCTATAGCAGCACTTCTCCCAATAGAACACTGCCAAGATTATGGAGTCATTCTTGGTTCCTCTCTTTCTCTGTCACATCCAAAGTGACAGCACGTATTGTTGGCTGTACCTTCAAACTACTAATCTAGAATCCAGCTACTTCTCAAAATCTCCAGTGCCACCAGCTGGGACGGTCCAGGCCAGGATGGGAACTATTGCAACAGTCTCCCAACACCTCCTTGCTTCTGCCCTGACTTTAAAGTCTCTTCTTCATATAGCACTCCTAGTGATTCCATTAAAGTGTAACTGAGAAAATGAACCTGGTCCAGTGGCATCTCATCTCTCTCAGGGTGTACGTCAGAGCCACTCCTGATTGGCCAGATTTTCCTCTGGATCTCTCCTGCTCCCTCCCCAGCTCTGCCCCCCACCAGTCTCCTACTTGTCCTCAACCAGCCCCCAGGCTCCAGCCTCAGGGCTGTGGCACTTGCTCCTCTATCCAAGACCCTCTCTTCCCAAGTATCGTCAAGCCTCCTTCCCACCCTTCCTTTAGGTCTAGGCTCAAAGTCCTCCCCCCGCCCCACACCCCCCGCCCTTTGTGAGGACGGCCTAACACCCTGCTTAAAATTGCAGCTTCCCTTCTAATCCAGTTGTTTTGTTCTCTAAAACTTACCACCATCTCACCTACCACATCCATTTTCCTATTTGTTTGCTGCCTGTCTCCCCTCTCTAGAATGTAAGCTTCATGAGAGCACGAGTTTGTGACTGTTTTGTTTACCATTGTCCTCATCCCTGTTGTGTTCCCAGGCACAGAATAAATGTTTGCTGGATGGGAGGGAGGGAGGGAGGGAGGGAGGGAGGAAAGAAGGAAAACTAACTCCTTTTCTGGGAGGTGGAGGGCAAATATAGACTATGGCAGGGAAAATGTGGAAATCTTATGAAACTTTATGCACTTACTTGGCACAGCGCACCCAGTGTGTATGTCGGCACAAGGAATATAAGAAGCGCTGGCGATACATGTTCCATACTTTGATGGATTTGTCTTCAGAAGCTGTAGCTAGATACTGCCCATCTGCAGAAAAGTCCACACTTCGAACTGGAGCTGTATGAGCTTTAAATTCAGAGGACTTCCCTCTCCTGGAAAGAAACAGTTCAATATTTACAACATTTGATTTAAGTATAATCAATAGCTAACCAGTATATAGACTCTGAAACATAAAACAGCTTAACTCTTGTAAAACTAACACCAGTATGAAAAGGTTGTGTTGTACTGTATTCACTCTTCATCAATACTGTTTCAAGCTGCTTTTGTCAACTGAGGTCACAACTGTTACTTAACAAGAGAGACCCTGGAAATGCATTTGCTCTTTATGTTTTCATTGGAAGCTAGGAAAATAATATTTTGAACAAATCTCTACTATGCCTTTTAAGTTCCTGCCATTCCACTGTTCCACTAAAAATAGCAATATATAGTTTAAAGAACCTGAACCCTCGAAAAGCTAATGATTGATGAAATGAATAGCACCAAGGCAATGTTTTAAAACTGGGGTCACAAGTCTGGGAAGGGGGAGATTTGCCTCCAACTTTCCTGTTTCCACCACCAGCAATGAGAACTAAGATCTGGGTGGATGTAAGGCCTGGCTGGCCTCAGGCCCAGTCTTACCTCAGAAGCAAAACAAAGAATAAATGGTAACAACATAGCACTTCTGTTCTCAACACCTTGAAATTTCAGGTGCTATTTTTTTTTTCTTGGCTAGGGTATGAAAAACGGATGGAGAAAATAACACGTGGCATTTAAGAAGCAGGAAAAAAATGTTAAAACAGCTCAGAGCAGGCGAGTAGATAGCACTGGAGTTACAAGGTGACATTTGGGAAATACTACTCTGTGCCGGTGTTCCGAAGTTTCCGAGGCACTTTCACTTTACACCACATCCAGACTTAGTCATTTTCCCATTATAAAGTCATATCTATACAGGTGATACCTTAGAAGGATAATCACCATAACTGTTTGTGAAAGATCAGGAACAGAATTTGCAGAAGTCTGGAAGTCACATTCAGTGCCACCCACTGCCTCTCCTCCCACACCCAGTAGGTCCACATACCTACTGAGTGATAGTGCTATCACTGTCACTGCCCAAGTATCTTTTGAATCCCTCCTCCTCTTTCGGTCCCAGCTATACTTGCTTTAAGGTTGATATGCCCTCAATATCCTTCACCTTGATTATTGCAAAAGCCTCTTAGCTGGTCTCCCTGCTCTAATTTTTTATCCCCCTCCAGTCACCTACACACTGTACTTACTACCTTGTTAACTCCAAGCATGTACTAGTAGATCCCAGTGTCAATGTGTCACTGGCCACCCTCCAGAAAAAGGCACAGCACTCAAGGTCTTTGGCAGACATCCTGCCACTGCTCTGAACTTTGTATTCTGAGAACAGCCACAGTGCTGAATACACACCTGAAATCACTGCTTTCTCAGCCTGAACTACTTCCCCACCCCAGACCTCCTGGACCAGCCGGACAGGATGAATTGCCCCATCTCCTCCATCTATTTTGCTTATTACATTATGTAGCATTTTTTTTTAATAGACCTGTTTCTCTCCTATTAAGCAGTAAGTTTTTTGAGGATAGGAATGATGGTTTATTCATCTCTATAAGACCAGAATCTAGCGCAATGTCAGACACATGAAAAGAGCTCAATGTGTTTTGTTGAATTCCACTGCAAAGAGGCAATACTTAAAGGTCCTTAGATCCATCCTGGCTTATACTTCTAGTGGCCTAGGTGACTGTCATGATTCTACAGCAGGAATAACTAAAATCAGTATTTAAAAAGATAGGAGGTAGCATTCAGGGACTAGTCCAGTGAGGTTTCAGAGAAAGTTTGTTGAGTAGAGGTCAGAATACAGTTGGGGCTCAATTCAGGTATAAGACTCAGAGAAAAACAAAGAAAAGCCTTGACATCTGCTATGACCAGGAAGCCAAGAGACAGCCAGTATCATCAAAATCGGCCCTGCCCTTTAGTTCTACACTGTGCACTCCAGCAGGCTAGCCTGCTTGCCTTCTTTCTAAAGGCCCTCCTCTCAGTGTAGGCTGGCCTTGCCTGTATCTGGTCTCAACAGGAAGCATGTTTGAAAAAAATCCACGAGATAAGAGCGCCTTGTTTATTGTGCCAGTGCTCAAGTGGTTTCTAGTTCCTTACCTTGCCTTAACGTAGACACTCTGCCTCCTACATACTTACCTGTCCTTTCTGCCCACATTCCCTTGACTGTCTACCATGACAAACTCCAGGCCAGACCTGCTTCCACTATTATTTTTTAGCCTCCCAGTCACCTGAAGTTGTCTGCCTGAAAATATGGCTGCCCACAATTTCTCTCATCTCTGAACACACACGCCACTCCTCCCCACAGGAGGTGGAATCTGCTGATTTGTCCACCCTTTGAATCTGGGCTGATGTGAATTACTTCGACCAACAGAATGGGGCA